GACGAGGAAGAAGAAGGCTACAAGGACATTGTGGAGCACACAGAAGTTGTCACGGAGAGCTCCCGTGATGATCATGATCAGGAATGTCCTGTCGTAGCCGGCCACCCTTTCCCACATCCCACACTGAGCTTTGAAGAGGTGGGCATGAGTGAGGAGATGCAAGAAGATCTCATGAAAGAAATTGCTTGGCAACTTGCTCTCCAATCCGTGCTAGAAGAAGGAGAGCAAGAAAGGGTGCAGAAAGAGGTTGTGGAGGATGACGAAAGCGAAGCAGGAGGAGTTCTTGATAATTTTCCAGGGGTGATACCACATGAAGAAGAAAGGGAGGTTGAAGAAGCAATTGGCGTCCAGGCTGAGGACGGAGTTGAGGTGGAAGAGGCTTGCACCGGCCATGAGTTACTTGTGATATCCCCACCAAACTTCGAGGAATTGCTCAGCAAGGACCCATTTGCAGTGTCTCTTTGCCAGACCAAGGCCACATCGACATCGGTCCCTCTTGGTGGACGCGATGGTGGTCAATCGATGTTGTCATATCTGGTTTGGGGCAATGAGACGAGAGAAGAGAAGAAGAGGTCTCGAGGGTGGAGACTTCATCTGCATCAAGTGCACGAGCCTTCATCACCTGCCGCACCACATGCTCGTGACTTGAGACTCCACCTCATCGACGAGAACCTCAACTTCAAGGAGGTTTTGGGGTGGACCGAAACTTAGGAGCCATCGTCCGGCTCACGACGTGAAAGAAGCGCTTGTTGGGAGGCAACCCAACCATTCGGTTTGCATTTCTTTCCCTATTACTCTTCGGTTGAGTCAGTTTTGTTCTTTGATTTTAGAGTCAATAACTCAACCTTTGTGAGATTTTGTGTGGTGTTTGTGTTCTGATTACTCTCTCCTCCTGGAATACATCGCCTGCCCCGTCCACCATCATTCACCCTTGATCTGGTAACTTCGTTCTACCCTCCTTATCTTTCCTCCATTGAGGACAATGTCGTGCTTAAGTGTGGGGGGATGTTCGATTATGTATGCGTGTCAATGTTTGGCTGTTTGTGTGCTTGGAGCCTAGTCCACTGTCCAAATTTCGATTTGAGGGCTCCAAGTACGTGTTTCCTTGCAAATTGCCTGCTCAGTATGCTTTGAATTGACAGTCTCTATAGTAATGTGCAACCTAGGGAGGTAGTGTAGCACTATGGAGGATGTTGAAGTATAAGATTTTTCCTATCTAGCTCTTTGCTATGCCAGTTGATTTTGTGAATTAGTGGAGCTAGGACCGTTGAATTCATGTGGTAATGGTGACTCTATGTGGATTGTGTTTTGGACTCGTGTATCGAACATGGTGCTCATATAGAAAATGGGAAGCAGTTGGTCCTCCATGTCGAAATTATTGAAATCTTAAACATGGGGTAAGCCCAACGTGTGTGGCACCGTTCATTGCACAAAATCGGGTTTTGGAAGAGATTTTAGTTATCCTTAGTGGGGTACTCCTACAAGGTGAAGCTAAGCTGTCTCTAGTACAAGTAAAACTTTCACCCATTGAACGGTTTGCCTACTCGAGGATGTGTTTTTAAGGGCACGGATAGAGCTTCCGACCCCCCTTAATTTCATTGACCCTCCACACGAGTTGAGGAAAAGGAGTTAAAAGAAGTACTCTGGCGAGCGCCAGATGTACAGAAATTGCTCTTGCTCGACTAATAAGGGTCGACCGTGCAAAAGACTGCAGTTGGAACCCCCGCTAAGTGAATAAAAATGAAAAAAAAAAGTAAGTAAAATGAAAGTGAAAAAGGGGTTCCAACGGTGAAATGAAATGAAAGAGCACCCCGGTACAACGAGTCCTTGGTTGTGAATGGTGTGAGTCCCTTTATCCATGAACTGACTGTCTTACTTCTACTTCTTCTCATGATCCTGGCTTGAGTCTTGTACTCGCATTGAGAGAGATAGGGAACGTCTTAGAAGACCAGTTGACCTCGTAAGCTGCTATATGATCTAGGAAATCCTCTACCGACGATCGGGGTTGTTTGTTGATATAGAGGTCTGGAGAGCTGCATTGGTTTGAGTTAGGTTTGCTTGGGGACAAGCAAACGGTTAAGTGTGGGGGGATTTGATGACTCGATATTTGCACATATTTTCCCCTTTGTTTCTTGATCGTTTAAGCTTGCATTATCGCTTCTTTGGCCTATTTTACGCTAGGTTGTGTTCCTTTGTCACATTTCAGGTCCTAGCACATAAAGTGAAGCATAGGCGCAAGTTTCAAGTCAATCAGAGATCAATTGACGATTCGGGAGAAGAAACTCGGGTATGACCTGAAGAAGAATGGATTTCTACCTCACTTCATGGACAAAGAATCATGCAAGCTTGTTATGAAACGAAAGAGGACGAGACTACGAGCGTCTGGGATCAAACGGCGACTGATTCGGAGTCCGGACGAGGGAGAAACGAAGCATTGAATATAGGGGAACAGGCTCGGCAGTGAAAACACGGGCAGGAGGCCTTCAAAACACGGCCGTGTTCTGTGACCGTGCTTTTACTGCCGAGAGCTGATTTGAGTTTGGCCAACTCGAGCTGAAAACACGGGCGGGCTGAGGCAAAGCACGGTCGTGCCCTCGACCGTGCTTTGGCCACTGATGCCCTTTTTAAGCAGATTTCAGCCAAAACAGAGGGGGAGAGCTGGGTTTTGGATCCCAAACACCCAAGGGACGAACCAAAGAGAGAGGGGGCGATTTGAGGGCATTCTTGGAGTGGAATTGGAGGATTTCTTCGCCTTGGAAGCTCGAGGAATAAGCCCGAACTTGAAGACTGATCATCTGAAGATTCTTACTGCAGTCTCTCTCTTCTCTATGGAGTAACTTCCCTTCACTTAGGTTTTGAGGAACCCTAGCTATGTTTGTTTGATTGGATGATTGTATGAGTACTCTGACTTGATAATCTTGAGTTCATATTCAATCTATGCATGTTTTCACGATTCAATTCTGCTTTAGTCGAGATTATTGATTCTGCTTTGATCCTATGAGAGCGAATACCTGATTAGGTCAATAGAGCACCATAGATTGATAGTAGTGGATCGATTGCTTTAGTCGAGGGTTGATTCACTGCTTTGTATCGATTGAGAACCTCATTCGATAGAGGGAGTCTAGTTCAGAACGCCTTGATCGATTGTTCTAGAGAAGGATACGTCCCTCTAGGCAATTGACTCAAGAGGGCCTTGTTCCTTTAGTCGAGACTCAAGGTCTAGTTAAGGATTCTCCGCATTGTGAATGAAAGTGAAACAAGTTAGAGATCATCAATCGTTAATCTGGCTAGTGGCTAGGGGGAATCATACCTAAGTGAGTTCCCAACCTGTAATTAGATTAACTTTAACTGCAGTTTGTTAGAGTAGTTTTAGTTCTTTCATCTTAATCTGATTTGCTAGATAATGAACTGAAGCTGAGTAATAGTAACTCTAGAGACCCGTGGATTCGATATTTATTACTTGAGCCACTATACTGCAGTCCCTTTCATTGGTTACACTTGGCCTTTGTTAGGAGTTGTGTCATAGCGAGTCAGTGGACAAGATTTTAGGGAGCTCGTGAGGAATTAGAGTAGAGTAGTTTATTATTTTGACTCATAGTTGAGTATGTGCTGGAGGTTCATGGTTAAAGTTGTTCAAAGTATTTTGGATTGTGCCAAAGTGTTAGGGCTTTCCGTTTGAAATTCTTAAATATTGTCAGTTTGTTTATTTTAAAAAGTGGTTTGGGTTGCTCCGGAGTAACCAATTTTTGGTTTGAGTTATGTTTTGGTTTGAAAAGGATCAGGTTGTTTCACGAGTGGTTGCAACCCTTTTAGTATGGCAGCAGCTTTGTCACAAAACAACCAGCATATCTTAAACGACGTTAAGACAATGTATTGGCAATGTGCGATTGTCTTAACGTTGGACTTTAATACGAGAAAGAGTTATGCGATTTTAATTTCACACTCTTCCATCATAACCCCCATTTTTTACCATGATTACGTGCCTAGGGTCGTCCCTATGTCAACCATTGTAAAACCTTTGTTTGATAACTTCATCGTCATCATCAGATTTTCACCCACTTGCCTCCACTATTTTCCTTAGTTCGATTCCTCATAGTTGCATGAGTGGTACATGTAATTGCTTGCATTTTGGACCGTTGTGCTTCATATATACATTGTTGTGCACTCGTACCAGGTTAGCTCTTACCCAGATTTTTGGGTCACATTCGAGAGTAGGAATGGCAATGGGGCAGGTCCGGAGCGGGTATCTCAAAACCCATACCCGCCCCGTGGCAGGTCGGGTAATTTATTATGGGGTGCGGGTCGGGGCAGGTCGACCCAATGTGTATATAATTAATGCGAAAAACATTAGAAATATTCGTTATTTTCATTAAAAGACCAAGAAAGAAACCATTATATGATAAACTGTAGTTAAGTTATTGGAGAAATTGAGGTTTTTACTTATTTACAACTTTATTATAGCTAAACTATGATGTAATAAGAGGAAAATCATAAGTGATTTGACTAAGATTACATGTAATTTAGGCAGGAACGGGTCAAGAATGAGGCGGGTCGAGACAAGTCGGGTCGATGAGAGGTACCCATACCCACCTCGCCCCACCTACGAGGCGGGTCGGACCTTCCCAAAACAGATCAAATAGATCGCTAAATTAGTAAATCGGGTCAGGTCGAAATTGCCATCCGTATTCGAGAGTCGAGGAAGGACTGGGTGGGTGGCAGGGTGGGGCTTTTCTAGAACCCCCGAATATACTCTTCAAGCCCACAACCCGCCCCTCTCTCATTCTCCCATTTGGCGGTTGCCAATCACGCGCCAAGTCAAGCGAGTAGGTCACTCATTCTCCCCAAAAAAAACTCCAGTGCCAGTACCTCCTCTCCTCTCCTTGTACCAAAACCACCACCAGCTCCCCCCTCCTTCCATCCCAAATTCCACCAAAAAGTCCATATCACGCCACCGATTCCTCGTGATTTGCCGCCGGGGATACAAAATTCTCCTCTCCACCATGTCCGCCGAGCACGACGACGCCGTGTTCGACCTCGACGACGATGACGAGTCCTCCCAGTCTCAGGACGACGACGACGATCTCGAGAACGATGGCGTCCTCGTCGTCGAAGAGGACGAGGAAGATCTCAATTCCGTCCCTTCCCCTTCCACCCCTTCCCCCGCCTCCATCTCCGCAGCGGCCTCCTCCCTCCCGATCGCCGTCCCTTCCGCCTCCATCGTCACCGTAGCCGCCGCTCCCAACGGCGCCGTCGATCCGCACAAACTCCTCCCCTCCGATTACTCCTCGGCCGCTGCCGTCCTCCCCGACGCGGTGAAGCGACCCCGCCTGACGCTCGTCCCGGTGTTCGAAGAGCAGCGGAAGCCGACTCCCCAGCCGCTCGACAAATCGCGCCAACTGTTCCAGCGGTTGTGGACAGACGAGGACGAGATCGAGCTGCTGCAAGGTTTCCTCGAGTACTCGAACCAGCGCGGCGGCGGGAGCCACCACGACACGGCGCTGTTCTACGACCAGATCAAGTCGAAGCTCCAGCTGGATTTCAACAAGAATCAGCTGGTCGAGAAGCTGCGGAGGTTGAAGAAGAAGTACCGGAACGTCCTGAACAAGATCGGTTCGGGGAAAGAGTTCTCCTTCAAGACCGCTCACGATCAGGTCACGTTCGAGATCTCGCGGAAGATCTGGAGCACTACGGGAAAGCTCGCGAGCGTCGAGGATGGGAATTTGGACGACGATGAAGGGAACCCTAATCTCAACAATAACAACGATGGCGGTGGCGGTGGTGGTGGTGGTGAGGATCAAAAGTCCACGCCTCGGCCGCGAAAACGTTCCCGATCTCGCTCCCTAGCCGCTCCTCTCACTCTCACCGCCTGCGGTGGCGGTGGTAACAGCATCGTTGCCGCTGTGGCCGCCACGGCCGGCGGAGGAGGAGGCAACCTTGGGGGTAAAGTGGATGATAAGCGTGTAGTGGTTAACGATGGGGTTGTTTCCAATAACAACGACGTGAGCAGTAATGCTCATAGCAATGTGAATGTGAATGTGCCTAGTTTGATTGAGGAGACTGTGAAGAGTTGTTTGTCGCCATTGTTTAAGGAGTTGTTGAGCAATGCTATGGCCGCTCCTGGGGCTTCGTCTGGTGGGAGAGGAATTGGGGGATTGGCCATGAATGCATTTCCATTGAGCTTCGGAGGAGTGGAGATGATGGCCGATGAGAAGTGGAGGAAGCAGCAGATATTGGAGCTCGAGGTATACTCGAAGCGATTGGAGTTGGTTCAAGACCAAATTAGATCACAGTTGGAGGAGCTGCGCTCGGTGGGTCGGTAATCTAATCGGTTGATGAATTTGGAGTAAGTTTGCAGCATAAAAAGAGTTTCCTTTTAGCTACTGGAGGTGTTTGAATGACTATGTAGGGGAAGCAGGAGCAAAAAAGCATCGGCATTTTTTATCAGAACCTTTCTTTTTTATGTGTTTGGGTTAATATTATTAGTTATCTGGTCTTCTTTTCCCGGGTTTATTTGACAGAACCAGATGTTGAATAACTAGTCTCTGATTGATCTTAGTGTCTAGAGCTCATAGTCTCTGTTCTACATTGTAGATAATCGCTTGATGCGTAGATTGGTAATCACTAATAAAGACTTGGACTTGTTAACTTAATTACTGCAGTTTATGTAAGCTTCCTTTTCCTCTGCTGCAATCATGTGAAGGGCTTCTTGTTCGTTCTCGCCTTTCTCCTCAGCTTTCCTCAGGACTCTCAATTTGCAACCTTCGATTATCATAATAGTTTGTCTATAGTGTGTACAGGCTGAACGACTGGTAATTTACCTCCTGTGGCTGTGGGATTGCATGTTGACCATTCTGAGTTGCATCCTGATTTCATTAGGTTCTCTTTCTGCCTCTCTGCAATGTTCATTTCTGGCTGGCCATTCACTTGGTCATTAGAAGAGCAGAATCTGCAGTTTCGCGTTGTGTCTCCTTTTGTGCAGATGGAATTTTTTTTCCTGGTCTAGTGACTGAAAGCTAGCTGCTCGTATGTGATTCGCTATGGAAACTGTTTCATGTCGGTTGTTTCCGGGCTATCTCTTCTCTAGTAATGCTGTTATGATCTGTTTGTTTATTTTGAGGCTTAACAGGTTGCGGAGAATCGTATAGTGTTGGTCCTGCCTTGTAAAGCTCATCGGATCTTGGCTGAGGCTGGTGTTGATGTTAGGTTAGCAACTGCTTCATTCAGGTCGGGTTTGCTTTGGTATAGCTTAGCTACTTGGAATTGGAACAGCAAAAGGCACTTTTTGATTCTCCATCTCTTGACCTTTCTTTTCCTCAACTTTCAATGTTTTGCTCTTTTTATATGCCAATCTTTTTCGCAATTTTGTGTTTTGCATGATGGTTTCTGTCTGGTGTGTTCCATTTTCCTCCCCTGCCATTTTCTTTGTATACGAAGTTCAATCAAACAACATACCTCCGTAACTTTTTCCTTGTTTCTCCTAGCTCCTGTTTCCAGTGGTGAAGGATTCTTCAAGCATTTGTTGGTGTCCTTCAACTATGTCCAATTATGAATGTATTGCTGACGGGGGTAGCACCTCCGTAACTTTTTCCTTCAACTGCTGGTTGTGGTCTTCCTTGAGGAGCTTTCTCTCACTGCCCGCCTCTATTCAGCGGCCAAGCTGGAATGCCAAACGTGAAACGACTACATTGATTGATAAAACTGACTAAGCGAAAGGCCGCGCCTAAAACTAGGGGCAAGTGGGTAGTTAATCCGCGAATTGATATCGATCCACCCACAAATAATCTGACCTGCAAGCAGTGGGTGATTGATGGGAAAAAATCCCACTGTACACACGTTCTTAAAAAAAATTCCCAAAATACATAAGTTATAAATTTTTTTCCCAAAGTACACATGTTTGGCATTCACCGTTTTTGACAAACGCAGTGAAGGATATCACCGCGTTTGACAAAGACGGTGAATATTTCACCGTTGAAAAGCAAAACGGTGACGTATTCACCGCGTTCATCTAAAACGGTGATGCTTTCACCGCGTTTGATTAGGACGGTGAATACATCACCGTTTTAGTTAAAAACGGTGAATACTTTCACCGTTGTAGGTTAACGCGGTGATCTTTTCCCACGTTTTCCACCCCTGGTAGGTCAAAATTAGGTCACAGCTACCAACTATTCACCGTTTGAGACAAACGCGGTGATGGTGTTCACCGTGCTCGACAAAAACGGTGAATAGGCGAACACGGTGAATAGTAGGCAGATTTTCCTATAAATAGCACACCACCAGCAGTTGTAAAAACATAACCACTCCCCTTTCTTCAAATTTCAGCAACCAAAATCGAGCATAATACACAGAACAGAAATTTTTCGGTATGTTGAGACTTTTCGTATTATAGTATAATTATGTTTTTAGTAGTTATAGTATGATTTAATTTTCGTATTATGTTGTTGTTAGTTAGTTGAATTTATGTTCGTTAGTTATAGTATGATTTAATTTTCGTATTATGTTGTTGTTAGTTAGTTGAATTTATGTTCGTTAGTTATGAGATGGATAATATTAGTTGTACAATATGATTTTGGTTAATTTTACTGTCTTTAAGCTAATAGATACTTATTGTAAATTGTAGATATGGGTAAATTCAAGAAGTTTCATCTTACTATTCGGTGGAATGGAAGGGTGACAAACTCTGACATAGGCATTGATTATGAGGACGGCGAATCCATTATGCTGAAAATTGATTCCCGCTTCAATTTTCAAGAACTCTGTGATATTTGTGCAGACAGGGTTTGTACGAGCGGACAGACGAGACTTGGAAAAATTACTTACCGGTATCCATACATGAGTGCTGGCGGGGTCGTGTTCCAAGAAGTTGTCATAAACGATGATGACGCGGTTACGATGATGTTACAGTTCCTAAGCGATAACCAAGTCCAGCTTGCAGAGGTGTATGTTGAGACCGAGGCGGTCGGTGAATCTCATTCTCACCAGTATTCTTATGATGATGGTTTTGCAGGAGGGTACGGATGGGGTGGTAGTTCGAGCAACTACGAAGGCGGTGGTTATACAGGATGTTACGGGGAGGGTGGTGGTTCAATCAACTACGGCGGAGGTAGTAGTTCAGGATGAGTGCTATCGGAAGAATACTCGCAACCTCCTCAACCAGCCCCATTTGTTGAGGCTGATGGTGTTCAATGGCCTGCTTGGGGGCCAGAGTGGTCTGAAATCGAGAATACCATTTGATCAGGTCGTACTTCACATGAGCGAGAAGACAATGTTGGTGATTGTGGTCATGTTGATCCTTCTGGCCCGAGCTATCCATTCGAGTCGAGCGACGAGGATACCGAGGAAGATTTGAGATCAGTGAGCGATGAGGAGGAAGATACTGATGATAACGAGGATGAGGCGGCATTTCGTGAGGCACCCACGCCATATTACACACAGGTTCCAAATCAATTTTTACATAGTCAGAATGATCCCCCCGACTTTGTCCCTATGCCAGTGTACAATCCGACGACCAATTTGGAGGTGGGTATGGCGTTCACATCGAAAGACGCTGTGCATGATGCTTTTACAGAAGAGGCGTTGAGGCGCAATTTCGAGTGGAAGGTAAAATATTCTGACAGTAAACAACTACATGTCATATGCAAGCATGATGCAGAGGGTTGTACGTGGCAACTGCGGGCTGCAAATATGAAGAGAAAGGGTGCTTGGGTGATTCGCAAAGCTGAGACGATCCACACATGCTCCTCTTCTATACTTTCCCAAGATCACAGGCAATTAAAAGCAAAGAAAGTTGGGAGAACTATTAAGCACCTTATAGAAGCACAACCAGATATCAAGGTGAAAGCTATCATGGCAGAGGTGAAGGATCGACATTCTTACACGATAAGGTACAAAAAAGCATGGCATGGAAAGCAGAAAGCCATGGCTGAGGTGTATGGTGATTGGGAGGATTCGTATGCTTTACTCCCTAGACTTATGGGAGCAATGGAGGAGTCCAATCCTGGGACTGTTTTCGTCCCAGTATACAACAATGTATACACTGAGGATCAAGTTCGAGTACAGGAGAAGCTGATGTTCCATCGTCTTTTTTGGGTTTTTAAACCATGCATTGACGGTTTTGGGTTCTGCATACCAGTTATTCAGGTATTTTACCAACTGGTTCCGGTTTTAAATGTTGTATTATTTTCTGTTACGTATATTTCATACTAATTAGATCCTAATTTTTTATTAAGGTTGACGGAACTTTCCTTACTGGGAAGTACAGAGGATGTCTTCTAATTGCCACTGGTGTTGATGGAAACAGGCGGATTTTCCCGCTTGCATTTGCATTAGTGGAAGGGGAGAACAACTTAAGTTGGGCATGGTTCTTTGACCAACTACACGAACACGTGACACAGCTGGAAGATATTACGATTATATCAGATCGACATGCGGGGATTAGGAATGTTGTTGGTGGTTTTCCCAACGAGTGGGGATGGAGATGGCGATGGTGTATTCGACACTGGCTCGCCAATTTCCAGCACAAATTTGGGAAGAAGAAAGACATCAAAAATCAACTTTGGAATGCAGGTACTAATGTTTTTCTTATGCGATTTAAGTTTGTGTTTATTAAGCTGATGTTATTCATCATGTATTGACCAGTTTCGATTTTGTTCACCTTTTAGCGGTTGCACATCAACCAAAAAAGTACGAGCAGAAGATGAAAACGATCCGTCAGACCCACCGAGCTGGAGCAGTATGGGCTGAAGGTCAAGAGTTGCCCATGTGGACGTTCCATATGGACAACGGGGCCAGATGGGGCATTGCAACTACCAACCATGGAGAAAGTATAAATAATGTGTACAAGGGTCTTCGAGCGATGCCTATTTCTGTCATCGTGGAGATGTCTTACTGGAAGGTCAACGAGTGGCGAGTTGCTCGGCTACAGCAAGCTATAGGGAGGGAGTTTCAAGGTAATTCAATAGCACCTGACGTATTCGCTCAAATGCAGAAGAACGATGAAAAATCAAGTAAGCATAAGGTTGTTCTTTTTAACCGCAGTGAAGGAATATTCGCTGTCGAAACAGGTATATGGGGTGGAGAGAGACGTGGTCACAATCGTCAAACTGTTAAATTGCACTACGAATTAGGGGAGTGTTCTTGTCAAAAGTATCAGAACGAAAGGATACCCTGTTCACATGCAATGGCGGTTGCTAAGTCAATAACCATGAACAGAAACAGTCTGGTGAGTCCTTACTACACTGAACAAGCGATACGGAACTCATATAATGCAGCTTTGAGCCCCATGCCAGATGAAGCGTATTGGCCTATATACGCTGGAAAGTTG